CGAATAGCTCCCAGTAAACCACCGGGACGTTCGCTTTGCGCGTGCGAAAGAAGCGCCCTTAAAGGCGCTCCTTTAAAATTGCGCTGGCGTCTCGCGGCCGGCAGTAAATATCGAATGCGAAATGACGGAATACGCTTCTTTTTCCATCGCTCGAAATGGAAATGAGGGCTGAAAATGAAAAAGTCGAGTGCCGGATGAGGGGGCGGGGGGGGGGGAGAACTAAAGGTGCAACGGGCGAGGATACGCGTTTTAACTTTTCAACGAATGGTTTTCCTATGAACGAATACAATTTAATATTTCGACTTATTCTCACCAGAAGGCATTTTTTTCTTCCTTTCTCCTCCACTTCATATCAGCATCGATAAAAGGGTAATCCATTTTCCCGGAGAGAAGAAAAAGCGCCGTCGAGCTTTTTTTGAGGGACTCTTAAGGGCGGATTAAGCGACACCTTCGATCGCGGTGAAACCGTAATGATAATGTCGCGATTAAATTTAGCGGTCGGCGCCGATTCGAGCGCTATTTCGTTAATTGTTCCCGCCGTTCCCGCGGGAGGAAAATGCTCCCGACAGGGCAAAATGGGAAGTGATGCGCCTCCCGGCGGCGAAATGGAAACGAGGCGAAAGAGGCGAAGAGCTAAACGACGCTGAGAGCATCCATCCGAACGGCAAGTCGTCATTTTAAGTGTTATGACTGTTATCAGCGAAAGACGTAATACATTTGAGTGCGACAGTTGTAATGTTACGCGTTACGTTAAAAAACAGTTGGGATTCTGAGGTGGAGTCTCATTAGCGCGCGCGACGAGATAGAAACGGCTATCGATAATCACTTCGTTACCGTCTGAGCGACATTTCTTTATTTCACGGACAAAATTTCCAACTGGTAACTGCGAAACACGTTGATTCCGCAAATGCCGGGACATGCCGCGCATTATAAATCATAAACAATCGAAACATAAATAACCGCGTCGTAATAATTTTACGGCGACTATCGTCGCGCGATTGCACCGTGACATTCACGCGACTAATGAATACTCGGGCGACTATATCGATTATGGTAACGCGTATCTCTCATTGTCGGGGAACCCGTCACATCACTTGTCAAACACGGCGGCATAATTTAATTAACATCGACCCCTGCGTTTAATTACCGGGAAACAAGAGGGCGGCACGCGGACAAAGAGCTAGACAAGAGAAAGAGAGACAGAGAGAAATGGAGGAAACGTTCCTGAAAGTTATTCGGGGATCGGATCTGAATACGGTTTAAGTCCGGGTTCTCTCTCTTGCTATGGTAAGGGTGGCCGCCTTCAGTGTGTCCTCGTTTCTTCGACTTACGGGATGCGGCACAAAGCCTCAAGAACGAGAATTTCCGCCAATCTTTTCATCGATCCTCTCTCCGACCAACCGAGAGTACGGACTTCCGCACGGATGCATTCCCGTACATTTATGGTGACGGTCAATTACTTGTTTATAAGGCGAGAAAGGTCGATTTATCGCTAATTGGATTCCTAATCAAGAGAACGGCGCGAGAAAAAGAAAAAAAAAAATTAACATTTGCACGAATGTTTCTATCAGTAACTTTAGCTTTCTCTCACCTCTGAATCGCGTTTTACGAACGTTATAAAAACACAGAGCTTTCTTATATAAAACCTAATCTAATAATGTAATAAACTTCGCGTGCTATCGAGTGTTGTGCGAGAGAATACAAACGGCTGAAATATAAGAATTGCGGTATGTAAGCGCGCAATTGTTCCTTAAAGTTCCTCGAAGATAGAGGCTCCTTCGTCTCCTCGAGCGTATTCGAGGCTCCCCTTACTCCTCTCCAGGCGGGGCAAAGGCAAGCAGCCTTCTTCATTCTCGACTTACAGGACGACTTACAAAGGCTCGAGATCGAGTGGGCGAGTATTGAGAATAGCCCCTCTTCGTCGAACCGATCCGAATCTTGCGAAAACGTAGAAGTAACTTAGCGGCTAGATAAATTTGTCGACACAATTGCTAGGTCCTTAAAAATATAAGGAAAAATTAAGACGTACAGTTCCACTTTTTGCTATTTTTCCGGAAAAGATTTGGAGTAAAAAATATTACGATGATTTATAAGTCAAAAAATCTCGAAAATTACAAAAATGCTCGAGAATTATAAAATATAATCAGGCGTATTGATATAATTTGTTCGCAAAACATATATTGGACACATATATGGGGTTTTTTTTACAAAATGTAGTATATACCTACTACATTATTAAGAGTAATCTCATTGTTATCTTTTCTACAAATCACGGAGCTCATGAATTGAATCATGAACGAACCTTTCACAACGAGAGCACCAGCTACAATAATTCAATTAACTTGGGCTCGCCTTTATTCCTTTGAGAGACGCGGAAGAAGCACACAACAACGAAGAATTGTACCTTTAATGTCATTCGAATTTGATCTAATCGATCCTTCGAATGTATCAGAATCGAAGGACTTTGTTCTTAGCTCTTAATGTAATAACAGTCTGTAATATAATAAAATACGGTGCACAGAGAGACAAAAGGGAGAATCACGTTCGGCCCGCATAAATCTACCGTTTAATTAACTTGTTAACATCTGACTTTGATCTTCGTTATTTAAGCCGTACATATTTCGCTCGGAATGTAACATAGCAAAGTCGCATGTGAAGTCGTATGCATGTTGATATTATATTTAGTTAAAAGGAAGACGAGCTTCATCGTTTTTTATCTCTTTTTTTTTAAACTCGATGTAACAACGTCCATTAGGTGATGCACAAGCGCCACATGTATCCAAAAACGAAATTTTTTGTCCTCTTTCCTTGTTAATGCAAGCCGCTCCAACGGAGCGTAGAATTACTGTGCGCCACGATCGATCAGTTGCAAATCGGACAGCGAATTTGATCCTTACGCTACCCTTTCGCGCTCTTCTTTTTACAGTGACCCTTCTGCGAGTTCGCG